GGAAGTGTCACTGTCCCTCATATGTGGGATCCGAACCGGGGCCCTCTGGCGTCCCAAGCCAGCTCTTAACCAACACGCCACTTGGCTGGCCCATGAGTAGTTCTTTGGATGACTGCAGATGTCCTTTAGTCTTGAACAGGCTTCAGGGTGCTGCAGCCCCAGTAGCCTTCTTAACAAAGTTACCAGTGAAAACTAGGTGATTGTTTATGCTGTAAGTGATTTCCTGTCCAGAGCCTACTCCAGAGGGAGCTCTGGTTTTTCTGAGCTGCATGGCTGGTGCATGGTGTTTAGGGAAGTTTTATGTTTGTTTTTATTTATCCTGATAGCCACTAACCCACACAAGAAAATCAATTGAGGGCCTCTCCACAATAGTAACAACCATATGTTTATATAACATAGTAAGGTTTTCAAAGCATAGACGATTTTTCATTTACCTCAGGGCTTTTTTTTTTAAGAAAGAAATATGAAATGTTTAATTCAAAACATTTACTCATTTCTTTTTCAAAAAACAAATGTATCCATGTTTTAGATTAAGAATAGGAATATAACACATTGTGTTTATTATGGTTTCCAGTTAGGAGAGCGGTAAAGGGGAGAGAAAAGGAAGGGACAGGTAGTGAAGGGAGGAGGCAAGAAAGGGAGAGTGACGGGCATTCTGACAGAAGAGGGCTGGAGGATAGAGTATAATGTCAGGCGAGGCCGACAACCCAGAAAGGGCTTTAATGTAACCAAAGTGTGTTGTTGTTGTTTTCTCATTCACACATAGTTTATTGCTTTGATCTTATGGCACTTCCATATCACCAGATACACTGACACTGGAAAAGCTGGAGAAGACCAGGATGGAAAGTCAAACCCAGCCATTACATGCTTCTACCAAGAAGTGACACACGTCACTTCTCCACTTCATTGGCCAAAGTGAGTCACATGACCACACTTAGCTTCCAGTTTGCTTAGAAGCAGGGAAGAGGATGCTGGTCAAGTGTAGGCATTACAAGTAGGCGGATCTCTCCTGCCTGCTCCCTTCTCCCACTCCATCCCTCATGTGTCATCGCGTGGCTATTGATGGTACTCTTCCTGCTGATCCAGGGCATCATATCACCTGTAGCTGCTGACCACTGGTGTTTTTCCTCCTCTAGTTCACCCTTCTACACCCCAAAGATGCACTTTACAGCTAAAACCATGTGCTGGGAACTTACTTCAACCATCTGCCCACACCAGCAACTCCTGATCCCTCTCCGAATGTGCCAGCTCAGAGTGTAGCACGTAATCGGGAACACCCAACACCTTACCTGAGAACTCTCTTTCAGAAAGGGGAAGACATCAGGGATGTTTATTTTAACGGGAGCAGTAGAACCTCTAACAGACATTTAATTTTTAAAAAATTTTATGGATTACTATGGAATCCAAGAACAAGAATTCCCACTGCTGATGTATTATTTCTCGGATCAGTTTAAAGCTGAGCTTGAGCAGACAAGGGATTGAAGAACATGTTCATTTCAATGACCTTTGTTTGATTCTGTGTGAGATCATCGTTCCTTTGAAACTAGCAAAATGAGAAGCTAGACCCAGACCGCTGAAGGCTGCCACTGACAAGCCACTTGTGTGTATGTCTTGGGAGTTCTCCATGGCCAAGGTCCTGAGTTCGTGATCCAGTCCTCACAGTCTCATAGGACCGTCCATAGCATGAATTGGTACAAATTGTTCTTTTCCTTATCTTTCTCCACTATAGTATGAGGTAACACATTCTGCTCTGTGAATAGGTAGAAACATCCTCTGTCCACATCACAAGTTTAAACTGGTCCTACCTGAAGGCTCACTTGTGAGGCTCAAATTTGAACTGAATGGCTTTACATAGTTCAACAACATTTTTCACATGTATAGCTGAAAAGACTCTGAAGCTTTAGAACTAGCACTTCTGTTTTAATCTGTACCATTACTAAGTGAGACACTGAAAGGTACTTATCACATAGCTAAGTTGTAATCCTTTCTTCCTCCTGGATTCCGGCTGATATCGTTTAGTTTCTTCCCTGTCAAAATGTATTATACTATGTGGGTAATAAAATAATTGTAAAAGACATTCAGAATGAAGAATCTACTAGACATGGATCCCAAAACTGGCTTCATGAATCTGTCACGGAGAACTTTTCTTACACTCTGCCTTCTTGCTCCTTTCCCAAGTAGGAATTATTTTGGATTTGGGAGAATTTGAGGAAAATAGGTGATTGAAGAAAAGCTTTGGTGCTGTGGTTCTGCCTTCAGCCTCAGCCACTTTTCAAGTGCTTTGAGTGGCATTATTACCTTAACTGATAATTCTCTTTCCTCTCTCCCTCCCCACCTCCTTCCCTTCTCTTTTCTCAGATCCAAGGGTTATAATTAAGGGCACAACTGTCTGGCTATTTCAGATAAGACTGTGCTGAGTGACTGTTCAACCCACCATATATCCTGTAGTTTAACAGGCTCAGGAATTAGATTGTATCAGTTAAGTCAGGGTTAATCAGGCTCACGATAATCAACAGACTGTAATTAAAGGGCTTTGTCTGCCTTTTTCACTACTGCATCCCCAGCCCAGCCACTAGCCCAGTGCCTCCACATAGTAGATACTGTACTCAAGAAATATATAGTTGCTGAATGAAAACTCATTAAAAACCCAATGCCCATAGCCAGAAATGTGATGTGGGGTTTACTAGCATGTTACAAAGGGGCACACACTGGGGTAACAGCAGAATGACGAGGACCCTGCTGGCAGTGGTGTTCCTCACCACTGGTGCACTTGAGCTATGGGCTACTCCATTCTAAGGCAAACAATACCCCAGTCCTAATCTGGAGGGATTTCAGATGCATCAGTTCATTTCTAGGGATATCTCAGGGTTTCATTTTCCCCAGTGACTCAGTATACCATAAAATTTCACTGCTGGATCACTAACACCAAAAAAAAAAAAAAAAAAGAGCTATCCGAGGCCAGGGATTGAATTTATTCATAAAGGATGTGTTTTCTTGAACATTTCTCTGATCCCTCCTGTTAGAAGATAGAACCTTTTATATACAGATCAACATCAGGCTTAAAGACTGTAACTTTAGACAGTGAAATATAAAGACAGGGGGCTCCCACAGGGGTGGCCTTGACCCTGATGAGTACAAAGCAGGGTGGTGGTTCAGCTAGTTATATGGGTGGTACTCTGAAAATTATGGAGTCAGAGAAATCTTGGGGATTCCACTAAGAAAACATGGCCACACTTGGGACCTCTTTCATTACTTCAGTCATTTGGGATATCAAATGGGATCTTGACCTTTCTGATTTCCAGAACCAGATAAATAACCCACTACATTTACACCAACACAAGCATGATGTGGGTTGGCCTTCGGAAGCCCCCATCTCTGCCCACAACCCTCCCAAATATGCCTAAAGGTAGGGCACTCAGTATTTAGTTAGCCGTGGTGGACCCATGAGGCTCCAACAAACCTCATGAGTATTAACTTTGTTAGTTTAGGAGAAAGTACTTAAAAAAAAAAAAAGAAGAAGAAAACCCCTACACAACAACAAAAAAAGCCTCCTCCACTTTGTGCATGAAAGAGATTATTGGTGAACCCCTTGATGGGTTCATGGGTCATTTACCCTCTTGATTCACTTAACTCTGGACACAGCCTCAATGGAAAGTGATTCACATGCTTCTGCAATCTTCTGGACTCTGTGCCCCACCCCCATCCCCTGAAATAGAAGCCTGTGTCTATTTTTTCCTGAAAGGCAAAGGATTGCTATTTATTTATGTATTCAGCAGTGTCTTACTACCCATGTTCAAGTCAGTGAGCTGGGCCTTTTGGAGGGTAAAAAGAGAAATCCTACCCATATTCCACCCTTCAATAGTACGAAAGTTATTTTACGGTTGGCGTGATGCCCTAATTACAGAAACACAAGCCAGGTGAGTTATATCCTGAGCCATAGGCACTGCTGCTGCCTATGCAAACTCCACGGATGTCTTTCGGTAAACAGGCTCATATATGACTATGCCACAGACTTTCAGCCTGGGTCCCAGTCCTGGCCCGTGTGCATAGACTCTCTGCCAGTCTGACTGCACGTGGATGGCCTCGTGAAAATGCAGTGTGCTCACTCATGTCTTGGCTCCTGTACTCATACGGGGACCTGGCAGCATGTCGGGTTTGTGTTTTCATTTTATTCCCCACCCCCCACCAAAGAGGAAATATTACAGTATTAAAAATAGGTATTTATAGTTCTCTCCCTTAAAATTCATTGAACAGGAGTTTACAGTCTTGAGGATATAGGAGGAAGTATTATAACTTTGGGTCTTTGCGGCAC